TCTCCCTCCTGTGTTTTCCCCAATATATCTTAGGTAAAACTTCATACTCCATTCCGACTTCTCTCCCTTCTTTGTGCTCCTTCATACCCCTTTCATAACCCTTTGTCGTAGTTTAGGCTCAACCCCCTCAATTAAAAATCTCTAATCCACCACCATTGGAGCCCTAGGAGGGGGTTCTTGACGGTGGATGCTTTCCTCATATTTCTCTACTTGATCTCTTTACTTTTCGATTTTGCCAAGGATTCTCCGGTCAAAACTTAATTAGGGTTTGCAAATTAATCCATTTGCGGGTTCTTGGATTGCATGTCAATAAGCTTGCTCATCATCTCCTCCAAGCTCTTGAACTAGTTTTTAATGAAGGAAAATCTTTCATTTATGGTTGAGAGCATTTTCTCTATCATGGATTTTAAGTTTTCCTACTTCTAATCTCTTTTTCAAATCATCTAATTTTCTTGCTGCTATCCTAAAAGCTAAAATCCATTCGTTGTCGTCTTTCTAGGTAGCCGAACTGGCAATTGTATCAGGAGGTCGTAAGCCGCAATTCCATCTTTGACTTCACTGATTGCTAGAATCGCAAAACTCACGTATGTGATCTTGTTATCGGTGTCCCGGCTAGCTCATATTAGGTTGTATTACGAGGTTTGGTCACCGCGAACTCGTCTATTTGCAACCCTGTACCACTATATCACGATATTAGGTCACACAGGTGACCCTATGCTGCCTAGTACTTGCGGGGATATGTATCCCGACTGTTTTTTCCAAGCGAAGGAGCCGTGATCTTGTCAGCTTGCCATAGAAACCGTGATTCATTAAAGAATGATCAATTCTCTTATATCAATTTGATATGAACTACGACGAATTTTCACAAAAATTAGGGCAATTACAATTCGTTACTTCACAAGCACAAAACACAAATGGATAAAGATAAACATCTACCTATAATTTGAGAGTCGATCTCCCTCAACGCCTACAATTTGAGGGGTATCTATAATTTGAGAGACAGTCGATCTCCCTCAACGCCTACAATTTGAGGGGTAGTGGGGGTAGGCGATCTCTCCCAAAACCTAATCTTAAAATTCAAAACAAAAATCTCTTAGCATAACCTAATCCTAAGCACAATAAGCCCTATTTGTATCCCAAACTAATAAAAGACTACATTGTCCTTAGGCAGCGACACAACTGTTATATATGACCATGTGGAAAAATACTGAATTTTATAAAATCAATTTTTTTCTAAATTTTTGTTGGAGATTATGCTTTGTTGGGTATTGTGTTGCCTCAATACATAACTGAATCTCCTTCACAAGGACATGCCTAATTGTAGTTTTTTAGGGGAAAGCCTGGTTTTTATTCTATCATTTTTATGCGGTAACATTAGAGTGGCGTTCTAATGTGCTTGAATTGATTGATAAGGGGAAGACATATTAGATATTCTAAATGCGCATTTACATACATATCACACATATTAGATTTTCTAAATGCGCATTTACATACATATCACACATATTAGATTTTCTAAATGCGCATTTACATACATATCACACATATTAGATTTTCTAAATGCGCATTTACATACATATCACACAATTCTTATGTATTTGCATATCTCCTACCTAAGCTTTCATATTTACACACATGACACTCAAATTTTTAATATCACATCAAAAATAGGACTATTACAACTCTTTAAGTGTGGGATACATGTTGTCATGTATAGTTTTAAAACGACAAAGTGCTATGTATGTAAATATAAAGTTCAGGTTTAAGATATGTAAACACATAATAATTGTATGCTACGTATTTAAATTTCCCTATTTTAAATATGTACATTCTATCTACTTAAGTTAGCGAAAGCTTTTATTTCGTGAATAAATACACTCTCTGCAAAATAGTTCATCTTTGAAATTGCTGTTGTGTTGGTTTCAAGTACTTTCAAACTCCATTTTTTTTATCAGTGGAACCATAACACCTTTTATTGCACAAATATATATGCTTTCTATTTCTTCCTTTTTTGAGATTATCTAAACCTGTAATTGCATTATGTTACAAGTCAACAAATTTAGGAAAATACACCATGTTTTTGAAATAGTAAAAATAGTTATCGAATTTTGCAGTTTTTACCCTTTTTCAGAAAGTTCTTACAAACAAGCTTGACTCAAATTTGCAGTTATTTGAAATTCCTATTGAAAATCCTGAAGCTCTCTTGAGATATGGTTCTGCTCTTGTTCAAGGTGCTACTAATGTCTTCTGGTATGCAATTTTATTTTATATTTTCTTTTTTCAGCATGTATGGCAGGTTTGCCTTGTATTGGGAAACTATGTTTTGAGCCTCAACGTGTGGCCCTTTCCTCCTTTATGAAGAATTATGAACTATCAATTATATAAAACTGGTTATGTTATAGAGGCATTTGCAGACAGACCACCCAATTCCTATCTATTTAGATATCCAACTCGTAATTTTTTTCCTTTTACATTAATACCCACCCAAATTTTCCATATCACATCCAAAATACCATCATTTTAACTTTTAATAAGCGAAAGACACCTTTTATGTATGGGTAAGGTGGGATGTATGTAAAAATTAAAGTTTAGATCTTAGATATGTAATTATTTAGATGTTATGCAAATACATAGGAATTGAGTGGTGTGTATGTAAATCTTCCTATGCTATATCCATGTTATATGAACTATTAATTACTTGAAATACAAGCTATCACAACAACGACAATGACAATGATGGGATATGTGTTTTAGTTGTTGGCTTTATAGTTTGTGTTTAAGTGTTGGTTAGTTTTATAGTCATACGTTGCCTTTTGTGTTGGGGACCTTTAGGATATTGGATGCACACGCATGATGTTTACGTGAGTTTAATTTTATTAATATTTATAGTCATTGATTTTTAAATAATGATTTAGGGATCTATTATGATTTGTCTTTTCAATGAAGACTTTCGAATTTGCATCATTCTACCCTTCTTGAAAAAAATGGGCTTTATATCAAATATTTGATATTTGTCTTGCAAATTTGGGCAAATTATTGTGTTGCAACAAGCTAATTCACAATGCACGCAGATAACTCTTCACCCCAAGTTATAATATCTTTTAGGGGTATTCACATACATATTACTCAGTTCCTATGAAAATTTTACTTTTTTTACATTTATACCCCTTAAATCTTTGATACCACATCAAAAATATCACGATTTTAACTTAAAAAAGTGAAAAAAAACATTTTCATGCATGGCTAAGGTGTTATGTATGTAAAAATTGAAGTTTAGAATTTAGATATGTAAATACATAAGAATTGAATGGTATATATGCATATCTTCTTATCTTTTAATATCCACTGTCATTAGTGGACACAATCTTATCACTTAAATTAATTTCAGAAACGAGATGAGTAAATTTGTTTTGTAAGACCTTTGGTGTGAATTTGCAAGGAGTTGGAAAAAGAGAAAAATTCATTATATTTCTCGATGTTAATTTCTTAAAAGTCTTTGTTAAAAGCCTTTTAAAATTAAAATGCAACATTTTCTTATCCTTTGATTTTTACTTTGCAAGTTTAGGAATCAAGAATACAAAAATCAAAATCAACTTTAGTTTTATTTGTAGAAATAACTTTGTTGTAGTTTTCATTGGTAGTTAATTCAACTTGTTCATTTAATTTGTTATCTTCAATAGGCATAAACTACAATATGCATGATTTGTTCAACTTAACATTTAATTCACATAAAACCTTATATTCATAATTAAGATTAGATTCCTGTTGTACTTGCTGTATAATTCAATTTTGATTTTAATTCCAATGTTGGTTGAGGTTCAGATTTTGAATGAATCCCATAACCAAAATCAATTTCAGACCCAAATTCTAGTTCTTGTTCAATTTTCAGCGGTAGACTTAATTTTTCTTAGAGGTTCAAGTGTGGATATTATGTCCGGGTTAATGCTATAGTTATATTCAATTTCTAACTCAAATTGCAACTTTTATTCAAGTTTGAGTTTAGGCAAATAGCTGTATTCAAATATAGTATATAGTTTGATTCAACACAATGAGATATGAACTTGTTTCAATTGTGAATATTCTTCCACATCTACTTCATTAAAAGAAAAGGGCATTTACGTGCATGGCACAAAACTCTTATGTATTTACATGCTCGCACCTAAGCCTTCATATTTACACCTATAGCACTCAAATGTTTAATATGACTTAAAAAATAGTACTATTGCCACTTTTTAAATGCGAGCTACATCTTTTCATGCATAGATTTAAAACAAAAAAGTGTTATGTATGTAAATGTGAAACTTTAGGTGAGATATGTAAATACATAAGAATTGTGTGCTAGGTTTGTAAACTTCCCTAGATGAAATTTTAAACTAGTTTTGCTGATAAGGTTTTATTTTGATATGCATGATTTTCTATTTTGTGTAGCATGATGTGTTTGATGGGTGAAGTTAGTGATTGCCCTTTAGGGGCTTTAGTTATAGGTGTGGTAGTCCTATCAAATTATATTACATTTTCACATTAAAAGATTTTGATAAAGTCTCAGATGATATTTTAGGTGCATTGTAGATTAAATTATTCCAAATTTCTAGCCTAATACCTTTAATAATACAATTAATGATAACAAATTAATATCAAAGAATTTTTTTTGAGTTGCATTACTCATAAATTTATCATCAGATCCATTTACTTGGAAGTGCTTATGATACTTGGAAGTGCTCGTGCAATTGATTTATAGACTCATTAAGGATAAACATTACTAATACCATTTGCATGATGTATTTGATGGGAGAAGTTAGTGATTTCCTTTTAGGGGCTTTAGTTGTAGGTGTGGTGGTCCTATCAAATTATATTATATCTTCTCATTAAAAGATCTTGATAAAGTCTCTGTTGGTATTTTTGGTGCATAATACACTTCTCATGGCTATGTATATAATTAGAAAAGTTTAGGTGTAAGATATGTAAATATATAAGAATTGTGTGCTAGGTATGTAAAATTTTCTATTTTATTCTGTTAACTTCTTACGGAAGTTATAATTTCTTTCTTTTTATCATTTCTGTAGGCTCGTCGAGATCTGTTTAATCTTCTTTCAAGATTTTTATTCTTTTACAACTTCGGTATGCTCCATGGTTTTTCCAACATGCTAGTCTTTTGTTTGTTGTCTTTAATGTTCTGAACATTCTGTTAATATCCTTTTGGGGCATTTACATACATATCACTCAATTCAAATGTATTTACATATCTAACGCCTAAACTTTACCTTTTACATTTATACCCCCACCAAAATCATTTTTATCACATCAATAAAACCACCATTTTAACTTTAAAAAAGTGAAATAAACTGTGATGCATAGGTAAGGCAGTATGTTTGTAAAAATTGAAGTTTGGTGTTAGATATGTAAATACATAGGAATTGAGTGGTATGCGTGTAAATCTTCCTATCTTTCAATGTTGCAGATCACTTGCTTGAAAGATTCTTGAAACATTTTCCTATCTTTACGAATGCATTTCTGATTGGTGGTCCTGTCGATGTTTTTGTGATCGAGCTTACTGATCAGGTACGTCTATATGAACGTGAAAATGAGTCTTTTTTTTACATTTTCGACATTTTCGACATTTTCAACATGGGTAATGCTTCTTTCTCTATCATATTCTTTCAAGCGTCATTAGAGAAGGTTGAGCCAGTACTTCTGCACTACCTCTCCAGTTTGAGAGCCCTCCAAGGTAACTATAATAGCTTTACTTAATACTGTACTGGAATGTGTTAAAACTTAATTTAATATGGAAAATATATATTTTTTAGGTATTGAATTGAGAATGACTACGAGTACGAGACTGAAGGCCTGTCTTTACAGTTTTACGTCGCCCGGAGGGCCTATGTATCCTACACGAGCTGTTCGCCATGCAGCCTGGGATTCTTTGGATCTTTTATTTCCCGTGAGTGCAACCTTTTTTTTACTTTCATCATATTCTTTTAGGAAGATTTACATACATACCACTCAATTCCTATGTGTTTACATATCTAAGGCCTAAACTTTAATTTTTACATACAGGCCATTCTTTCTATGCATCGAAAAGGTGCATTTCATTTTTTTGAAAGTTAAATTGGTGCTATTTGAACGATTTGGGTGGTATAAATGTAAAAAAGAAAGTCTAGGGGTTAGATATGTAAATATATAGGACTTGGGTGGTATGTGAATGGTCATCATCTCATTTCAGTTGTTCTTGATTGTTTCGGACATGTTATTTATGGTATTTAGGGATGTACTTGAGAGAGTGGATTATGGGAGCACTATTAGTGTTATGTATTTTTATTCAAATCTTGTACTTATCCTAGTAAAAAATTGTTGATATGATTAAAATATGTATATACCAAGGACTAAAGTGCAAAAGTTACATCATCTACTCGCGTTCTTATCATAGATTGAATATCTACAAAATATTGAATTTAATGAATCTTCATGATTAGGTAAGCTTGATAGCAAAACCTAGTCTTGAGGGAAACTAAGGCACCTTCTAGGTGGTAAATACCTAGAATTTGAGCAAAATGTAGGCATCCTAAAGCAGTGTTTGGTAGCATGCTATTAACATGATTCACTCATGGATTTAACTTCAAATCCAACCAGACACCAAATAAATGAAAATTAAATCCAACGCTCCGTTATATTGAAGTTTTGTATGTCCTTTTTTTTCTCTCGTTCCGTCTCTTTTACGACATATTTTCAGACTTATTCTGTCGTCACTCGCGCTATCGCACACTGAATTTGATAAATCCAGATTTATGAATTTAGTGTATCTGATAAATCCTATCTAACGTAAATATTGGTTGCAGCCAAACACCGCCTAAAAAGTCTTTAGTTATAAGGTCTATTCAATGAAATTAGACAATGAAATTTAAAATCACATCCGAGAAATTTATTGTGTCAAAACTTATTATGGTCTAGGGAATAAAAACTTTGTCTATTAGGCTCAAAGGTTGAAGACGCTGGGTTCGTTAAATCTACAAACTTTAAAAATAGAGACATTTACATACATACCACCCAATTCCTATGTATTTACATATCTAACACCTAAACTTCAATCTTTTCATTTATATGACCAAAATCTCTCATATCACATAAAAAATACCACTATTATAACTTTTAAAAAGTGAAATGCTACTTTATAATTGATGTTTAAATGTTAAATATGTAAATATATAGGAATCGAGTACTATTTATGTAAATCTTCCTTAAAAATATCATAGCTTATATATTGGAATTTTTATACTTTATAATTGGTTAACACATATGCAACTTACAATGAATATAGAAATATTCTTCTTCACTCGAAGGTCCAAGCATTTAAACTTCGAATAAATTCCCTATTAAAATGCATTAACTCTAGTGAGATAACTTCGTCCAAGATGGTCTAATATATTCTTTTTAAAGACGGTGGTTAGTCCTGCAATGCTTTATGGCGGAGAATGTTGGCCTTTAAAAGAGAAGAATCAAACTAAGTTAAAAGTGTTGCTGGGCTTAGGTGGATGAGTAGCTTGACACTTAAACGTCGGCCATCTAATGATCCGATTAGGAGAGTTGATGTTTTAGATTCTACTTACTTTAAGAAAGGCAAAGGTAGGCCTAAAAAGGCTTCGGCATATTGTATGAAAATGATCTTAATTTATTTGAATTAAATGAAAAGATGGCACTCAATTGGACATAATGGAGAAAAATGATTTATGTAGCCGACCCCGCTTTGTGGGATAAAGGTTTGTTGTTGTTTTTTGTATGGACTAATATTTTCTTTAATATGGTTCAAGGTCTCGTTGTCCTAATTAAGTTGAAAAGACCTGCTCCTAATTATGTCGAAACAAAGATGACCTCCATTTGTCTAATTGCAAATCCACATAATTTGGATTTGTTTATCAGGTCTAAATAGAATCCATTCGAGACTTAGAAATTGATATACAGGTTGTCCAAATTTAATCAAGTGCATAATGTTTGAATGGATTTTAAAGTTGACAGATCGAGGCCATCTTTGATTTGACATTGCTTGGAGAAGCTAAGCGAAACTCAGAAAATCAGGCTAGGAAATTTAGCACTGCATGTCAATCTCATAGGTTGTAAATATGAAAATCCAGGATTTAGATCTGTAAAACCATAAGAATTTTGTGTTATGTATGCAAATGCCACAATATGATAAAGCTGAAAGACCAAAAAAATGGTTGTCATAATGATAACCCTTTCATCACAAACTGTTCTTACAAACCCAAAGGAAAATTTTGGTATGATTCCTATTTTATCTTTTTATTCACTATACCATTTGGACGCGAAACCGTCTCCCGCTTCCGTGGCGCGAGACCGTCTCTCGCTTCCTTGGTGTGAGAGCTTCTCTTGCTTCCGTGACACGGGTTCGTGTTCGAGGCCAGACATAACACTTAATTTTGCGTTTTCCTGCAATTGTGGGAGCGAATCACAATCCATCCACGTAAGTTCTTTGCATCCACGAGAAGAGGTTGGGGGTTTGTTCTGGTAGGCTCGACGCAGGTCTTTCCTACCTGGGATTGTGTTGCCTGGCCTATAAAGCATTCTTATTTTATTATTTGAAGCTAATTTACGATTTGTTTCCTATTTCTCTAATTTTTAATTAGAATTTTCTATGAGGGAATTTATATATAAGGTTTTGATAATTTATATATATTGTAACAAGGTTTTGATAATTTAGTTTTGGCGTATATTTTTTGTCGGGACAGCCGTCGACATCTCTTTTCTCCCTTCTAGGGTTATATCCAATGGTGAGTGGCACTCTGACTGTAGCTGCTCTGACTGTAGCTCGTTCGAGGCAGTGATCTCCTTCCAAGGGATTGGTTGATGTTCCTGCTATAGCTCATTCTCGCGGGGGTATTTTTCTCCTACTTTTTCATCATTCGCATTC